CTTCCATTTTTGAAACATGGTTAGAACTGTGTAGCGAAAAAACATATTTTAAATCAATTAATTTATAATATATATATATATATATATATATATATATATATATATATATAAAGAAAGAACATAAAAAAAGTTTACTAAATCAGTGAAATCAATTAGCTATTTTTGGCGTCATTGTCATAAAGTTTACTTAAAAAAAAATTGTTACCTAATAATATACATACTTATAGTTGATGTGAAAATAACTCTACATACTGTAAAGGATTCCAATACATTTACTTGTTCTTAAAAGAAATATAGTATATTAAAAATTAATAGTGAAAATATTTTTCAAATTATAGTTAAATAAAACGTATTCTAACCTGAACACCACCCCACAAAAAAAAATCTTTAAATATACAAATAGAAAAAATGCCGTAAGAATTTTTCCCGTTAACAATAAAATTTAAAATATCCAGACGACATGCATTTAACGGATGTTAGATTTAATTGAAAAATACATCCCTACCCCTACCAAAACATAACTAATAACTGATACATCAAAATAAAGCGATAATGAATACGCAAACACCCCTTGTCTAGAGGAAGTGGATTTATCTGTAACCTTGGAAACGTGAATTATGATTTTAGCTATGTCTTTAAAACCCAGTAATTTTAAAAGTTACTCAAAAATTTGCTTGAGGATGAAATGGAACTAATGTCTTTAATTTAATTACAAAATTAAATTCGTGGCTTTAAAGCTTCCATTTTTGAAAAAAATATTAGAACTGTGTAGCGGAAAAACCATATTTTAAATCAATTAATTGATAGGAAGACATCTCTCATCAACACGTCTATCATCACCACCTTTCATATCACTCATACCAAACCTAATGGTTTTATTAACAGTTAGGCAGAAATTCACTTTTGCCAACAGTCCAGAAATGAGTTCAAGACTCACTAAAAATATAGAAAACGAACAATGAGACATTAAAAGAACATAAGGAAAATTTATTCCTTTAAAAAATTTATTACCTTTATTTGCCTGAAGAATATATATATATATATATATATATATATATATATATATATATAATTATTAAACCAATAAATCCAAAATTACCTCATAAGGGGAAGAGCCTATTTCGGCAGACCACGTTATGCCAGTGCGAAAGTGACTGAAGTCGAGATGACAGGTCAGAGCCGATAGCCTTCTTGGATTTTGTTTAGAATCTTGAGATATATAAACAGTAGCAGTAGACCAGATATGACAGCAATATGCAATGCACTGACGAATGGGAAATGTATATATCCGCAAAATAGATTCCGATGAGTAAAGCTTTTTGACCGATATTTTTTTTAAATTATGTTCGCCCAATACAAGGCCCAAGGACCACTCAAGGTAGAGTGTTACTAAAAGAGGTGTATAATATCGACGTAAGAGGAGGACGAATGAAGTAAAGAATATGAGGATAAGGAGGATATATAAATTATCTCTAGCTTTTGAGAGATTAAGATTGAAGTGTACAGGGAAGTGTTAATGGGGTTGCTTTCTACAAAGTACCGTTTCTTGGGAAGAATTTCCCTGACAGGAAGTTCCTCTTTACAAATAGGATACGAAGAGAATGAGGTGATTCGGCCCTGTGGACGTACAAAGATGGCTCTTGTCTGTAAATGTACGAACTTGCAGCAAAGCTGCAAGATTGCTTTAAGACAGGAACCTTTTCTTCTTGCTGTGGCGCTTCAGGATGTGGACGATTATGGCTCAGCACAACATTTTGTTTAGTAGCCCTTAATTTTCTATTGTATATGGTATGTCCCTGCATGACGATGGATATCTACAGCTTACTCTGTTACTAACCTTCATAATCCCTGATCTAACATTTACACAGTCTTGTTGGGTAGGTTCTTCATTGTTTTTCTTTGTCCCTCTTGCCTTGGTTAGGTACTGAGATTGTCAAATTCTCTAAACCTTTTTCATTATTATGCGTCCCAGAAAAATAATCTCATGACCATGCTTGAGTGTTATGGCATTTTTATATATATATATATATATATATATATATATATATATATATATATATATATTATATTTCATCCTAATTAAATTGATGAACATGCAAGCGTTAACGTAACTAGAAAGCAATAAAAGAACTCGATTCACAGAGACAGAAGATGGCGATTGACGTTGTTTTGTAATTTTTGAAGATCGTAGTCCTACAGAAGGATGCTGAGAATACCATGAACCGAACATATGAACAACGACAAAGTTTTAAAGAAAATGGAAACAAAAAAGAATATTATACTTCACATCAGGTCAAGACGCTTGAAATATTTAGGGAAAATAATGAGGAAGGAGGGCTTGGAAAACCTGATACCCAAAGGACAGATTGAAGGCAAGAGGAACAGAAGCAACAATGCGTAACCTACTTAGTGAACTTAACTGAATGGATTGCCGAACAAGGTTTAGGAAAAAATAAATAGTCAAAATTTTAGGAGAAATAATAAAAAGACAAAATTTACAGAGAAATAATAAAAAGACAAAATTTTATGAGAAATAATAAAAAGACAAAATTTTATGAGAAATATTAAAAAGACAAATTTTTTCTGATCAATAATGAAAAGATAAAATTTTATGAAAAATAATAAAAAGACAAAATTCTATGATAAATAATAAAAAGATAAAATTTTAATATAAATAATAAAAAGACAAACTTTTATGATAAATAATAAAAAGACAAAATTTTCAGAGAAATCATAAAAAAGATAAAATTTTATGATAAATAATAAAAAGACAAAATTCAATGATAAATAACAAAAATACAATTTTTTTAATAAATAATACAAAGACAAAATATTCAGAGAAATATTAAAAAAGACAAAATTTTTGATAAATAAGAAAAAGACAAAATTTTCAGAGAAATCATAAAAAAGACAAAATTTTCAGAGAAATAATAAAAAGATAAAATTTTATGATAAATAATAAAAGACAAAATGTTTTGATAAATAATAAAAAGATAAAATTTATGATAAATAATAAAAAGACAAAATTTTATGATAAATAATAAAGATATAAAATTTCATGATAATAATAAAAAAGATAAAATTTCATGATAAGTAATAAAAAGATAAAATTTTATGATAAATAATAAAAATACAAAATTTTATGATAAATAATAAAAATATAAAAATTTTTGATAAATAATAAAAAGACAAAATTTATGATAAATAATAAATAGACAAAATTCCATGATAAATAATAAAAAGCTAAAATTTTATGAGAAATAATAAAACGATAAAATTTTTTGAGAAATAATAAAAAGATAAAATTTTATAAGAAATAATAAAAAGAAAGATTTTAGGACAAATAATAAAAAGACAAAAAAACTCTGAATTTTTGAGCGACATGATCACCTGCGCCCTGAAGGGACACAACAGATAGAAGAAGTTGACAAGAAAGCAAGAAGGCGAAATAGTGTTCCACTAACAAGAATATACAAGAGAAGAAACGTTTAACATAGAACTTACTGTTGACTTACCAATTTTAATGATAAAAAGATGTGAGCTAGCTACCAATCTAGTAATTCGGAAAGTCGAAGTACCAAAGTAAAAAATATTTATAGGTATGGCACAGGGAAGCCACGTTACAGCGGTCGGAAAATGACTGAAGCCGATTTGGCAGGTCATTGAACGTTACGTTCAGTTAAGTAATCTTCGGGCCACTGGAAATGGTCTATATTTGCCTTGAGTAAAACGAGATTTTAGAAACTGTATGAAAAACAGATGCAACAGAGAAATTCAAAGTTTGCTCATTCGTGACTGTGACTAATTTTTTTTTCATTTACACTCAGAAACATCACACCTTTAAGAAAAAAATACAAAAATTAAAGAAAAAAAGAAAATATTATTATTATTATTATTATTATTATCATGACAGTAAGAATTCGGGAAAAATCGAGCTAAAGATTATACCAAAAATAAAATAAAAGAAAATTAAATTAAATAAATAAAACTAATAGGCTTTTTATAAAAGGTTAATATCGTCTTGAAGAAAATACGAAAACACGGAAACGAAACGCAGTTTATACGGTCCGGAATTTAATTAACACGAATGAAATTAAATAAAGACCTACAAGACGGAAACAAAGAATGGAGAATCGGTGGTGAGGCAGATCGAGGAAGCAATTGAGAAATGGCGAAGAGATAAAGACTGAAATCACAAAGATGGTTACATAACTTGATTGGACGAAAAATACGCGAAATACAATTATTTATTTGAAGAGTAATTCGATTTATTTCGGTGTAAGTTCCACTTTCAATCGGTTTGGCTAGGAATTCTGGGTAAAACGTTGAGCTCAATTGCTTAATGGAAATCGAATTGCAAAGAGGTAATACTTTTAATTATACGATAATAGGAAGAAAGACAACGGTGATGACGACGACGACGACGATGATGATGATGATGATAATAATAATAATAATTACCAGAATAAGTCAATATCTGATAGTTACGAATTAGCGTCATGGCGGAAGAAGAGGAGGCGTAGATAAAGAAGGAAGAGAAGGAAACTGAGGTGAGAAATAAATAATCTATATTTGCTGCTCGATGTTTCGGCGGTGAATAGAGGGAAAGAGAAAAGAGAGAAAGCAGCAGATAACAATGATGGAGTAGTAGTAGCGATCGAGATGGCGTAAATGGTCGAGGATGATTGGTAATGGACGCTGGGGGGGGGTCCAGACGATAAGGAAGAAGTGGAGGGAAAGAAGAGATCGAGAACTGCGGAAATAAGAAAATGGGGGCAAAAAGGAAGAGGCAGTCGAGGAAAAAAGGAAGCGAAAGGAAAGAGGTGGAGGGAAAAAACAGAAATCACGAGAAGAGTTGTACACGTCGAATGAAAATGAAAGAAAAATAAATTTAAAGGGAGATAACAGCAAAAAGACAACAAAGGAAAAGGAAAGAAGAGATCGTAAATGGTGGGAGGAAAGAAGTAGAAGTTAAGAAGGCGGAATAAAGAAGAAAGAAATTAAAGAAGAAGAAAGAGAAGAAGAAAATAAGAAAATGAAATGGAAGAAGAAAGGAGAACAAACGAAAGCGGAAAAAAAGAAAGAAAGAAAGAAAGAAAGAAGAGGAGGAAAGAAGAAAATGAATCAAAGGAAGGAAGAAAGAGAAGGACAGAAAGCGGAATAAAGAAGAAACAAAGAAAAAGAAGAAATAGAAGAATGAATGATGAAGGAGAAGAAAGAAAGAAGAAAATGAATAGGAGGAGGAAATAAGAAGAAGGAAAGACAGCGGAATAAAGAAAGAAAGAAGAAGAGGAAGAAGAAGAAGAAGAAAGAGGAAGAGAAAGAGGAGGAGGAGGAAAGGAGAAAATGAATCGAAGGAGGAACGAAAGAGAAGGAAAGAAGGCGGAATAAAGAAGAAGAAGAAGAAGAAGAAGAAGAAGAAGAAGAAAAGAAAGAAAGAAAGAAAGAAAGAAAGAAAGAAAGAAAGAAAGAAAAGAAGAAGAAGCGAAAAGAAAGAAAAAGAGAGGAAAGAATGGACCGAAGATGGAAACAACAAAAGATACAATGTGGAAATGAATGAAGAAAAAAGAAATTAACAGTAGTCGAGAAAGACGCCGAAGAAGCAAACAAAGAAAAAGAAGAGAAGAAAGACTGTAGATGACGAGGAAAAATGAAAGAACGAAGAAGAAAAAGAAACTGCAGTAGAAACGGTAGCAGTATAAGTTAGATAAAACGAAGAGAAAATTGGAAAGAGACAGAATAAATAATCCAAATGATAAACAAAAGCGGAAACTACGGGAGTTATTGTTGAGGAAGAAGGATAAAGAAGAAATAGGAAAAGAGAGGATTGGGGGAAAAAAGAAAGGAAGAAAGAAAAGATTCATGAGAGAAAACAACAAAAATAGAGGAAAATTCAAAAATGAAAGAAGTAAATATATCATAGATATGGACGGCGAGAATAGAAAGGAAAGAAATGCCTTGAAAGAAAAAGAAGAAGAAAAAGAAGAAGAAAAAGAAGAAGTAGAAGAAATTAACATTGTAAGTGATTCATCTATGCAAAGAGTATAGGAGAAAGAATGAAGTATAAAAGTATCAGGACTTGAAAGAAAGAAAGAAAGAAAGAAAGAAAGAAAGAAAGAAAGAAAGAAAGGTAGGAAATAAGAAAGAAAGAAAGAAAGAAAGAAAGAAAGAAAGAAAGAAAGAAAGAAAGAAAGAAAGAAAGGTAGGAAATAAGAAAGAAAGAAAGGTAGGAAATAAGAAAGAAAGAAAGAAAGAAAGAAAGAAAGAAAGAAAAAAGAAAGAAAGAAAGAAAGAAAGAAAGAAAGAAATAAGAAAGAAAGAAAAGGAAAAAGAAAGAAAGAAAGAAAGAAAGAAAGAAAGAAAGAAAGGTAGGAAAGAAAGGAAGGAAGGAAGGAAGGAAGGAAGGAAGGAAGGAAGGAAGGAAGGAAGGAAGGAAAAGAAACAAACAAACAACGAAAGAAAGGAAGGAAGGAAAGAAAGAAAGAAAGAAAGAAAGAAAGAAAGAAAGAAAGAAAGAAAGAAAGGTAGGAAATAAGAAAGAAAGAAAGAAAGAAAGAAAGAAAGAAAGAAAGAAAGAAAGGTAGGAAATAAGAAAGAAAGGAAGGAAGGAAGGAAGGAAGGAAGGAAGGAAGGAAGGAAGGAAAAAGAAACAAATAACGAAAGAAAGGAAGGAAAGAAAGAGAAAGAAAGAACGAAAGAAAGAAAGAAAGGATTAGAACAATGAAGAGAAAGAGAACGGAGAAAAAGTATGAAAACCTCGAGGAGTACGAGAATGAAGAAGAGAAAACAATGAGTAAGGGCAAAAATAAAAAGAAGGGAAAACAGGCAGGCAGAAGAAGAAAAAAAAAGAATGAAGAAAAGGAAGAGAAACTACAGTCGCAAAAAAAAATATCGTCTGCTTATCATGACGACGACGATGGCGATATTAACAATTGATCAATACGAATCAGAAATACAGCGCTTAAGAAAATCTAATAAAAGTAAATTTGATTTGCCAAATTATTTTCACTTCTTTTATTACGCTTTTTTTCAACACATTTTATTTATTTATTTATTTATTTTTGTTCAGGAGAGTGGGGTTAGGCAGTATTTCATTTTCTCTTTCGTTCCAAATCGTTTTAATTCCTTTGTTCACATTTTCCTTTATTATATTTTTCTTTTCTTCTTTTTTAATTCATTAAGTCCACATTATTATGAACAAGTTATTCATGCCTATTATCTTGATGTCATCGCCACAAAGCCATGAGTTGATACTTTTTCTTTGAAAATTGTATAGATTATTTGTTTGAATTTGAGCGGGTAAAATATGACACGGCTGAGGTGAACTGTACGAATCCTATTAAGGCTTTGATAATTTAGTTTTTGAAACAAGACACATTAGAAATTTACCAAAGACAGACATTCGTTAAACAGCTAAGACACTATTTCGAGATTTCCGCTGCTGAAAATAAAATATTTAGCTACAGTGAGGCAGTATCAGTTTAAATTTCTGGGACATTAGTCTCACGTTTTTTATTAACATGAAGTGAAAAGATTATTGAATCTGTTGTTAACTGGGGCAAAGGACGGCTTGCTAACTAAACTACGCTCTATTAATCATCCCAGAGAACACTCTCTGATTTCCTGAGGTTTGATATTGTCCTATAGGTCAGTGACACGCTGCGTTTTCTTGAGCTAACGTTCTCAGCTCACATGAAGTGGAACGACTATATTGATTCAATTAAGTCTTCTGTTGTGAGAATTGGTTCAGTGTCATGCCAGACTATCTTTCTCGGCTTTCTCAGTATGTCGTGCCAGATAATCTCCCCCGGCTTTCTCAGCATGTCGTGCCAGACAATCTCTCTCTGCTTTCTCGGCATGTCGTGCCAGACAATCTTTCTCGGATTTCTCAGGATGTCATGGCAGGCAATCTTTCTCGGCTTTCTCAGCATGTCGTGCCAGACAATCTCTCTCTGATTTATCAGCATGTCGTGCCAGACAATCTCACTCTGATTTATCAGCATGTCGTGCCAAAGAATCTTTCTTGGCTTTCTCAGCATGTCGTGCAAGACAATCTTTCTAAACTTTCTCGGTATTTCGTGCCAGACAATCATACTTGGCTTTCTCAGCAGGCCGTACCAGACAATTTTTCGCGGCTTTCTCAGTATGTCGTGCCAGAGAATCTTTCTCAGTGTGTCGTGCCAGAGAATCTTTCTCAGTATGTCGTGCCAGAGAATCTTTCTCGGCTTTCTCAGCATGTCGTGCCAGAGAATCTTTCTCGGCTTTCTCAGCATGTCGTGCCAGAGAATCTTTCTCGGCTTTCTCAGCATGTCGTGCCAGACAATCTTTCTTGGCTTTCTTAGCATGTCGTGCCAGACAATCTCTATCTGATTTTTCAGCATGTCGTGCCAGACAAACTTTCTCGGCTTTTTCCGCATGTCGTGCAAGACAATCTTTCTAAACTTTCTCGGCATTTCGTGCCAGACAACCATACTTGGCTTTCTCAGCATGCCGTACTAGACAATTTTTCTCGGCTTTCTCAGTATGTCGTGCCAGAGAATCTTTCTCGGCTTTCTCAGCATGTCGTGCAAGACAATCTTTCTAAACTTTCTCGGGATTTCGTGCCAGACAATCATACTTGGCTTTCTCAGCATGACGTACCAGACAATTTTTCTCGGCTTTCTCAGTATGTCGTGCCAGACAATCTTTCTCGGCTTTCTCAGTATGTCGTGCCAGAGAATCTTTCTCGGCTTTCTCAGCATGTCGTGCCAGAGAATCTTTCGCGGCTTTCTCAGTATGTTGTGCCAGAGAATCTTTCTCGGCTTTCTCAGTATGTCGTGCCAGACAATCTTTCTCGGCTTTCTCAGCATGTCGTGCCAGAGAATCTTTCTCGGCTTTCTCAGCATGTCGTGCCAGAGAATCTTTCTTGGATTTCTCAGCATGTCGTGCCAGACAATCTCTATCTGATTTCTCAGCATGTCGTGCCAGAGAATCTTTCTCGGCTTTCTCAGCATGTCGTGCAAAACAATCTTTCTAAACATTCTCGGCATTTCGTGCCAGACAATCATACTTGGCTTTCTCAGCATGACGTACCAGACAATTTTTCTCGGCTTTCTCAGCATGTCGTGCCAGGCAATCTTTTCTTACCCATCAATCATTCGTCCGTGTATTTAATATTGCTGTCATGTCTGGTGTGGTGAGCCGGTTATACTCTTCTCGATTCTCGAGAAAATGCAAACGAGCGTCTGTAATTCTATTGGCTGTGACTTAGCATCACGACTTCACTTTCTTCTGTTGTTACGTGAATTCTCCATGCATTTTCTATATTTTCATGGCAATTTTTCTAATGAGCTCTTTTCCTTGCTAAAGCATCTGCATGAATTTAAGCGTACTACTAGATTGGCAGCTAGGTCTCACGTCTTTTTACTGGTGGAACATCTAGATGCAACCGTAGGTTCTATTCTAATAGTTTCTTTTCTTGCACTTCGCGTCCGTGCGATTCCCTTCTGGTTTCTTGTTTTCCATGCCCCCTACAATTCTTACAAAATTAAATACAACGCCAATGGCTATCTTATGTTATCTTAAATCTCTCTTATCTTATTGTTCATTCTCTTCACTAAAATGTTTTCATTCTCTTCGACTACCTGAAACCCTTAGACCTTACTAGCAGTATAGACCTGTTTCTAGGTGAAATGATTTCAAACAAAATATTACAATGTAAGAAGGCCTCTGTAATCTTAACACACACACACACACACACACACACACACACATATATATATATATATATATAGGTGGACATTGAGGTCAAAACCTAGAGGCGACAGTCTGTTTTATGCTTAAAGGCAATCATCATATCATGTGCGTTGTTCGACTGTTCTTATATGCTGCTTAGTGGTACATTATTGGTACGTTTATTGTATCATTTTAACGGTTAATTGGATAAGGGCTGACAGTTATGTTTTGAATTATTTTCGGGGCCATTTTGTGGAAATAATTGTGGATTCAAATGCAGTTTTGTGGCTATTTTATATTGTTGTTAATTTTTTACTCATTATTTATTTTTGAATATATGTTCTTTATTGTCATTATTAATTTTCCTTGTGTTAATGCGTGCGTTATTAGTTTGTTAATTTGTTGTTTATTTAATTTATTTACTTATTTATTGGTTTGAATTTATTTTACTTCTTTATTTTTTTATTTTTATTCGGTTTTAGTTTTCAATCTGTAATTAACGTATTAAAAATTTATTTTCGTGTCTACATTTTGAGATAATCTCTGATCGTTTATTTAGTAATTTGTGTCTGTCTGGGAAGGTAATTATAGCTATTTTCTATTTAAGAGGGAGCTGACAGTTTTTTTGTTTACTGTTGTAGGCTAATGCTGTTTTCCTTATTTTCCATGATAATTTTTTTGTGATTTGATATTTTGTTTATAATTTCCCAGATATGTTTAGAAAGCATATCCTAGCTACGGGCAACTAGCAGAACAGACCGGATCCCACATATATATCCCACACTCATATTCCCATATATATATATATATATATATATATATATTCCACTGGGATATATATATATATATATATATATATATATATATATATATATATATGTGTGTGTGTGTGTGTGTGTGTGTGTGTGTGTGTGTGTGTATGCGTGTGTGTGTATTCATATTACCTGCATATAGTGCAACTGGTCACTGAAAATGCTTGATTTTTAATCTCTTCAAAAGAATTACTGGCGTATAATGCGCCCCCTTATATTCTGTGTAAAAAAAAAATATATATATATATATTCGAATATTCACGGTAATGGAATTATGTTTATTCTTAACTGAAGAGAAATAATTATTCTATAAAAAAAGGTTCTTAAAAACGTTTAAAAAGATGCTAAAAATTTAGAAAAAATTTTCAAGAAATTATGTCGATGATGTTAGCGCATTTTCAAGTTTGACATTTGTAAATTAAAGTTAAGCGAAGAGACAAATTTGACTCAGATTCGATATTATAAATAGCAACCTCATTCTGAGTCGATAACGAACTAATATTTTTCAATTCCGACAAGTGTCCCGGCATAGGCCATATATCAAAAATGCTAATCTACGAAAATTATTTCCTAAAAAATATTTTAGATATTTTTTTTTTATTAGTGTACAGACATTTTCAAGGAGTGCCACAAAACAAAAACTATGACTAAAAAACAATCCAGTTCAAACGACACGGAACATACCAGAGATACTCCACATATTTGTATAGTTTAAAACTTTCTTAAGCCGCGACAAGTGTCCGATTAAATTAAAATATAAAATTAAAATAGATTATAAAAATATTAAAATATATTATAAAAAAAAAGTTTTATAAGACAAAAACTTGGTTACGTGAATCTTAACGATTTTTATATGCTTCACGATACAACGTAAAAAATTTTTCTTTATTGTACTTTTCATTACTTCTCGCTAAAGTCTTTTCCTGCAATTTCCCTCCCTGTAACCATCTTCGTCCTAGAGTCATTTTCGTCTTGCTTGTGGTTGAAATAATTGAAAAGAAAACACACGCACACTCTTACCGACGGTCCTCTACTTAAACATAATTAAAAACGATCCATTCTTGAAAAGAACGATCACAAGAAATGAAAAGTATATTGTTTACAACAATGTGTAGCGAAGACATCGTGGAGAAAACGTGGAGTTTTTTGCTTCGTATACATAGGCATCGTTACGTCTGTGGGCAGTTTGGCAATGTTCAGTTTTTTGTACTTTGTGCTGAAGTGCTTGTTTTTTAATTGTCTAATCCTAGTTTCTTAACATCATAATTTATTTTACAATGAAAGATATATATATATATATATATATATATATATATATATATATATATATATATATATATATATATATATAGAGAGAGAGAGAGAGAGAGAGAGAGAGAGATAGATAGATAGATAGATAGATAGATGTAGGAGGCACGGTGGAGTAATGGATAGCGCCTTGATTGAGGAATCGGAGAGCTGAGTTCGAATTCAGTCGAATCCATTACATTCACTTACGCTAATACCCTTTGGGAAAGGTGTGAATCCTCTTTCTTCTCCCTCCTGCTATGGGTAAATAGCCTTGGATGGCAACTGGTCTAGGAGAAGGACAACTCTGAATTCAAAACCTGCAGAGGGGACCTTGTGGCACGTAGTGCACCAAGTCTCTGAACTCGGCCCTTCAAAAAGTGTGGATGGTCCTGCACGAAACCTTCACCACTATAATCAAATCACTGTTGTCGGGCTGATCTGCTTGAAACTCATACGTCGCATTCGACGGGAGAGTCGACTATATATATATATATATATATATATATATATATATATATATATATATATCTTTCAAAATGAGTTCGTGTAAGCATTATTGTTGTAATTATTATTGCTATCAGTTCATGTAAAATGGCTGGACTATTTAATGTGTGCCAGTGATTAAAGTTTAAAGATTTTGGCCTGAAGATAACTGGCTGTAACGAGCTGATGAATATTCATGAGGATTTTTTGGCAAAAGCCTGGTGGTGTAAACGGCCCGGCCGAATGACCAAGTAACAGTCTACTTGTAAGCAATCAGAGGGTCAAATCGAATTTCGACTAATTTGATGGCGCTCTGACTACTGTCCACCTTACCCCGCCACACGCCCCAACTCGTATCCAGTGGTGATTGAACGATACAATAACACACACACACACACACACACACACACACACACACACATATATATATATATATATATATATATATATATAAACATATACATATATATCAATACAAATCATATAATCCTACCGTTTTATTTTTTATATATAACAATGCAAAAGACATGCACACACTCTCACTTATATATATATATATATATATATATATATATATATATATATATATATATATATATATATAATGACGAGTGTATATGTATTGTTATGTGTGTATGCATATGTAATGACGTGGGCATATGTATTGTATTGTCATATGTGTGTGTGTGTATTGTATTGTCATATGTGTGTGTGTATATGTAATGACGTGTGTATGTCTATTGTATTGTTATATATATATATATATATATATATATGTCCATGTCTGAGTGATGGTGTGTGTGTATAGTATCATCCCTTCCCTTTCGAATGCAAGGTCTTGCTGTGGTGGTATATATACGTATATATTTATAGGTTGTTCCAATGACTTGGAACGATTTTAAATGTGAATTAAGTTTAAGCATCTAATGATTTTTTTCTTTTTCTTTCAGATTTAACAACTTCAGTCTTTGCCAATTTAACCATGAAAAGATTAACGATTAAACAACGTGTTATCGAAGCCTAGGATAATAACAATGGATAGCGGCTCGGATTGAGGATTCGGAGACCCGAGTTCGAATTCCAATCAGGTCCAAAATATTCACTTACTTCATAATACTCTTGAGTATGAATCCTCTTATTCTTTCCACAGCTACGGGTAACTAGCAGAACAGACCGGATTCTACATCCTTTCATATCCAGTGACTTATCAACAATCTTCCTTGGATTTTACATCAGCACAAATGCAACAATTCTGCTAGTTAATGAATCCATCAAGATGAAAATAGGCTTCATCACTAAGGAGGATTTTTGCGAAAAATCTTCATCGGTTTGTCTTTGCTCGTGCACCCAATTGACGAATATACGTCACTCCAAATGGTCAGCAGGTTTCAGTTCTTGGGTCAATTGAGCTTTGTGAGCGTGTAGAGACGAATCTTTTGTCAAAATTCGATGTAACGTTGTTGTGGTGAGGTTCAATTCGCGCGATGACGAATAGAGGTGTCTGGATTTTCGGCCATACTCTCGTGGACTGCAGCAATATTTTAAGCTGAACGGCGTAAATGAGCGTGCAAATGAGCGACCCAGTTATTTTTTTGCATTTACAAACAATTTTTCCAGTTGCACTCTCGCTTCGTCGATTATGCTGACCAAAAATTCCGAAGTGCGCGAAATGCATTTCTGTTTGAACGTCCATTTTTCGTAATAGGCTTCGATAACTTTAACACGTTGTTTGATTGTTAATCTTTCCATGGTTGAAATTGCTAAAGACTTACGTTGTTAAATCTGAAAAAAGAAAAAAGAAAATATCATTAGACGCTTAAAATTAATTCATATTTATTAGCGGTCCATGTTATTGGAACACCTTATATATATATATATATATATATATATATATATATATATATATATATATATATAGTATAACCATGAAAAAGACGTCAAAATGATCGCAAAGGCAGAGTGGATGAGAAAAAGAGAGAGTAGATAAAGAGGAATATGATGGAGACAGACAGAGAAAGAAAGAGTGAGAGAAGGGAGGAGGGTAAAGAAGGAAAGAACACATAGAGAGAATGTTGGTAAAACGTCAGAGAAAGAAAGAAAGAAAGAAAGAAAGAAAGAAAGAAAGAAAGAATGAAAGAATGAAAGAAAAAGAGAAAAAGATAGCAATAAAGAACAAACGCGCAATGAAGATAAAAAAGAGAAAGTGAAAAGAAAAAGGTAGTAAGAAAAGCAAAGAGAATGAGAAACATAGAAAGAAAGAAAAGTCTAAAGCAAAAGAAAGGGTAAGATAATTAGTGATAGTGTGTGTGAGAGTAATGTGCAGGGAAAACATGGATGAAAGAAAGAACAGAGTCAAGAACAAGTGGGAAAATGAAAGGAAAGGAACGCAAGAGAATACAAAGAAAGAAAGAAAGAAAGAAAGAAAGAAAGAAAACAAATAAAGAACAAAGCCGATGTTGAGAAAGAAAGAAAGAAAGAAAGAAAGAAAGCAAATGAACAAAAGAGTACTATATGAATTCGTGGTTTTGAAAAAAAAAGGAGATCGAAAGGAAAAGAGGGAGAAGAAAAAGAGAAGATGAAAGTGAGAGATTAAAATAAAAAAAAAGAAAAATTAAGGGAGGTTAAAGGACTAAGGCATAAACCTCAGAGTGAGAGGAGAAAGAAAGGTGAGCGAAAGAAAAAGTGATCGAAAAGGAGAGTGAGAAAGGTGAGAGAGAAAAGTGGGAGATGAAAAAAGCAAGGGAACAGAAAGAAAATAGGAAAACGTGAACGTGATTATTAAATGACAAATAAGTGCGCTGTAAATTTTCATTGAATGAAAGAGAAAGAAAACCGAAAGAAATAGAGAGCGAAAGAAAGAAGGAAAAAGAATGTGAGAGAAAAAAATGAAAAAGAAAGAAAGTGACAAATGTGTACGTAGTAAATTTCCAATGTTTGAGAGAGGAAGAAGACAAAAGAGAAGAAATCGAAAGAAAGAAATGAATAAAAGAATAAAACGAAACAACAAAATAAGTATATGCGTTCTAATTTATAGAATGACAGAGGGAAAGAAACAAGAATAGAACGAAAAAAAGAAATATGGTGGATAAAGAAGAAATGAAAAAAAAAAAGGTCAAGAATATAATAAAAGACAAATGGCAATAATAATGTTAGCCGTTTCCAAATAGGGAATTATTCGGCGTTCATTGACTGAGCAGTCATTGGTGCTGTCGGTAGAAATTTATAAAAACTTTTACTTCAAACAATTTTTCAGCAAAATAGATTTCTCAAGTCCAGTAGCTGTTATAGCTCTTTCTCGTATTGATTGGCGGTTTTTTTTTTTATCTGACCTTTTTGTTTTGTCTTGATTATATCATTATTTTCTCTTCGAGTTACATATACTATCCATTTTAGCTATCGCTGCTGTTGAAAGTCCTCAAGTGATGTCTTGTCTATTATTTGATACATTTTTGTCTGTGATTCTGTTGCACCATTTCTAAAAGTTCAAATTAAAATGATCTTTGCCAAGATACTTAGGCTTCATTATTTGATCTTTAAATTACATGTACAATCCATTTTAGCTGCTGTTACTGTTGAAGGTCCTCGAGTTACATAGTTTCTGTTATTTGGTACAGTTCTTTGTTTGTGATTCTGTAACACCAGTCCACAAGGTTCAAAGTATATTTTTTCCCAAGACACTCAGACTTCATTATTTTCTCTTTGAGTTACATGTGCTTTTCATTTTAGCTGCTCCTGATGTTGAAGGTGCTCCAGTGATTTTCTGCTATTTGGAACAGTTCTTTGTTTTCAATTCTGTAGTATCAGTTCACTCGACACAAAGAAGGTTAATCTTTGGCAAGACACTCAGGCTTCATTATTTTCTCTTTGAGTTAAATGTGCTAACCATTTTAGTTGTTACTGCTGTTGTAAGTCTTCAAGTGATGGGATTTCTTTTATTCCGTGGAGTTCTTTGTGATTCTCTAGCAACAGTCCACAAGGTAAAAGGAAGAATGAGCTTTGCCAAGACTCTCTGGCTTCATTATTTTCTTTTTGAGTTAAGTGTGCTATCCATTTTAGTTGTTACTGCTGTTGTAAGTCCTCAAGTGGTGTAGTTTCTGCTACTTGGTACAGTTCTTTATTTGTGATTCTATCTCACCACTCCAAAGACAAATGATCATTGTCAAGACACTCAGATCTCATTATTTTCTCTTTGAGTTACATGTGCTATCCATCTGCTTTTGAATGTCCTCGAGTGATCTGGTTTCTATTATTTAGTACAGTGCTTTGTGATTGTGTAGCACTAGTCCTCAATGTTTCACCTGCTCAAAGCCACTTTAACCATTGATCAGTAGCTGTTAATGCTCTTCCCAGTCTTGATTGCGGTTTCCTTCCTAAACTTTTGTTTGAAATAGTGTTGAACGTATTAATGTCCTTTGTATTTGAGTGGGCGCAAGAGAAGTTGGAAAAGAAACAAAAGAAGATAAAAAACGCAAATGGGAAATTGACAATGAAATAAAAGAAAGAAAGAAAATGATAGAAATACGAAATAAATGTCAACGTGGTAAATTATAGAAAAGTGGCGAGAGGAATGGAAAATTAGAAAGACAGGAATCAGAAAGACAGAAAGAAAGAAAAACGAACTGAACGATGTAGTGTCAGAAAGAAAATGGCTATGAGAGGAAAAAAGAAGAAAATCGAAAAAAAGAAGAAAAAATGTAAGTAAAATGAATAACAGGAAAAAGAAGAAGCGAGAAAAAAAAAAGAATAAAAATGAAAAAGTGTAAGAAAATAAAAGGGGAAGAGAGAAAAAAGAATAAGAAAGAAAAACTAAGTGACAGAGAAATAAAGATAGAAAAACTAATAAGAAAAAAGAATAAGAGAAAAAGAACGAAAGAGAAAAGTATAAGAAAGAGAAAAAGAATAGGATAGAAAAAAGAATAATAGAGAAAAAGAAGAAAAGAAAAAAAAGAAGCCGAGAAAAAAGAATAAAGAGTGAAAAAGTATAAAAAGAGAAAAAGAATAAGAGAGAATAAACGAATAAGAGAGGAAGAAGAAGCAGAGAAAAAAGAAGAAGAAAGAAAACAAGAAAAGAGAAAAAGAAAAGCATAAAAAAGGAATAAGTGAAAAAATGAATAAGGAAGACGAAAGAATAAGAGAGAAAAACGAATAAGAGAGAAAGAAGCAGAGAAACAGAATAAGAAAGAAAAAGAAGAAAAGAGAAAAAGAAAAACAGAGGAAAAGAAAAACAGAGGAAAAAGAATAAATGAAAAAAAATGAATAAGGGGAGGAGAATAAGAGAGAAAAAAGAAACAGAAAAAGAATAAGAGAGAAAAAACGAATAAAGAGAAAGAAGCAGAGAAACAGAATAAGAAAGAAAAAGAAGAAAAGAAAAAAGAAAAACAGAGGAAAAAAAGAATAAAAAAAAAAATGAATAAGGGGAGGGAGAATAAGAGAGAAAAAGAAACAGAAAAAAGAATAAGAGAGAAAAAGAATAAGAGAGAAAGAAGCAGAGAAACAGAATAAGAAAGAAAAAGAAGAAAAGAGATAAAGAAAAAAAGAGGAAAAAGAATAAATGAATAAGGGGGAAGGAGAATAAGAGAGAAAAAGAAACAGAAAAAAGAATAAGAGAGAAAAAAGAATAAGAGAGAAAGAAGCAGAGAAACAGAATAAGAAAGAAAAGGAAGAAAAGAGATAAAGAAAAACAGAGGAAAAAGAATAAATGAATAAGGGGGAGGGAGAATAAGAGAGAAAAAGAAACAGAAAAAAGAATAAGAGAGAAAAACGAATAAGAGAGAAAGAAGCAGAGAAACAGAATAAGAAAGAAAAAGAAGAAAAGAGAAAAAGAAAAACAGAGGAAAAAGAATAAATGAAAAAATGAATAAGGGGGAGGGAGAATAAGAGAGAAAAAGAAACAGAAAAAAGAATAAGAGAGAAAAAGAATAAAAGAGAAAAAGAGGAAGGATAAAAAGGAATAAGTGAAAAAATGAATAAGGAAGAAAAAGAATAAGTGAGAAAAAGAAGCAAAGAAGAAAGAACAAGAGAGAAAAAAGAATAAGAGGAAAAAGGTTGAGAGAAAAAGAATAAGGGGGGAAAAATAAAAGAGAAAGAAGAAGCTTTGAAAAAAGAATATGAGAAAGAAATGAATAAGCGTGAAAAACGAATATATAAAAAATGAATGAGAGAGATGAACATTAGAGAAAAAATAATAAGTGTAAAAAGGTTGAGAGAAAAAGAATAAGGGAGAAAAAGGAATACGAGAGAAAAAAAGAAGAGAAAAAGAATAAAGGAGAAAAGAGAGTAAGAAAGAAAAAAGGATAAGAGAAAAAAATGAGATAAAACAATAAGAGAGAAAAAAGCATCAGGGAAAAATGAATAAGAAAGAAAAAAGAATAAAAGAGAAAAAAAATAAGAGAGAAAAAGAAGCAGAAAATAGAATAAGGGAGAAAAAAGAAAAGAAAAAGAACAGGAAAGAAAAAAGAATAAAAGACAAAAAAGAAGAGAAAAAAGAAGCAGAAAAAAAGAATAAAAATAAAAGAGAAAAAGATTAAAATAAAGAGAAATAAAGAATAAGAGAGAAAAAATAAGACGAGAAAAGAGAAAAAGAGAAAAAAAGAAGCAGAGAAAAGAATAAGAGAGAAAAAGAAGAGAAAAGAGAATGAGAGAGAAAAAGAATAAGAAAGAAAAAAGGAGCAGAATAAAGAATAAGAAAGAAAAAAGAGAGAGAAAAAAAGAAGGGAAAAAACAAGAGAGAAAAAAGAAAACAAAAGAGAGAAAATGAAGACGAGAGAAATAAGAAGAGTAAAAAGAAGAAGAGAAAAAAATCAGACAAAAAAGAATAAGAGAGAAAAAGAATAAAAAAGAAAAAGAATAAGACAGAATAAGTATAAGGAAGAGAAAGAACAGGAAAGAAAAAAGAATAAAAGACAAAAAAGAAGAGAAAAAAGAATCAGAAAAAAGAATAAGAAAGAAAAAATAAAAGAGAAAAAGTTTGAAAGAGTAAAGACAATAAGGTAGAAATAAAGAATAAGAGAGAAAAATAAGACGAGAAAAGAGAGAAGAAAGAATCAGAAAAAAGAACAAGAAAGAAAAAGTATAAGAGAAAAAAATAAGAGAGAAAACTTATAAGAGTGAAAGAAGAAGCAAAGAAAAAAGTAAAAAAAGAAAAAAACAAACAAGAGAATAAGAGAGAAAAAAGAGAGAAAAAAGAAGTGACAAAAGAACAAGAGAGAAAAAAGAATGAAAGAGAAAAAAAGAGTGAGTGAGAAAAAGAATAAGAAAGAAAAAGAATCAGAATAAAGAATAAGAAAGAAAAAAGAGAAAAAGAAAAAGAGAAAAAAAGAACAAGAGAGAAAAAGAATAAGAGAGAAAAAGAAGACGAGAGAAATAAGAAGAGTAAAAAGAAGAAAAGAGAAGAAAAACTTAAAAAGTTTGTAGTTATTCGAGGGTCACAAAAAAGCAAACCGGTAAATGAAACACAGCCGATTTTGATTATACCACTTTGGCATTTTGTTGCTTAAAGGGTGAGTAATTATAGAAAATCTTAATGAGTGGCCAATCATTAATTAATATCCATTAATTAATATTCATTAATTAATATTCATTAGGAGAGATGATTAAATATTGGACAGTCTGGATTTATTTAGACAAACAAATTGGCCGAATAACGAATTGAATATGGCCAACATTTGTGTCCAGTATTTTTTTTTTCGTCTTTCTTTTTCCTCGAAACCAAATTTCAAAACGAATTAATAGAAAAAAAAAAGAGGGCGAAGAAAAAGAAATGCTGAAAACTAGAGACAAGTAAGAAAGGACGAAAGAATCATGGAGTGAAAAGGGAAAGAAATAACGAACGATAAGAAAGAAAAGAATTTTGACGTTGATAAAGAGAGAATTCCATTATTAGATATTTATGAGACTCCATATTTTATCTGGTCTATCAAAAACAAAAATAATTTGACAGTTTTTCCCTTAATAATGTTCAGAATAGTATCTGGAAGTCTGTTCAACATTCTTATCCAGGCACACACGCGCGCGCACCCCCCTCCCCAAACACACAGACACGCGCATGTGTGTAAAATTTCAGATAAAATATATCTGTAAAAAGATAATATGAATATAGACAGAAGGAAAACTATTCTCGGCCAACGCATTTCATCCCCTGATTTACCTTACCAAGGTGGAGTAATGGATAGCGGCTCAGATTTAGGAAGCGGAGAGCCGAGTTCGAATTCCAGTCGAATTCATTACATTCATTTACGTGCTAATACCCTTAGGAAAGGTATGAACCCTTTTCTTTCCTGAAGACAGAGCGGGTTCTATAGTCTTGGATGGCAACTGGTTTACCGCAGAAAGATATGGTAACCTACTGCGAGTAAAAATCTGCCCCGTCAGTCATGTACCGAAAGATACATGATCGTCTAAGCGTGTATCATGCATAGCGCATAACTGACTGACATGTATTTATAGAGAGAAGGAAAAATATAGATCTGTTTACAAAATTTCTAAATTTGAAATGGTTGAAAATAAATATGGAGGATTCTCAGAGATAGAAAGATAGATGTAAACAGGCGAAAAGATAGATAGATAGATAGATAGATAGATAGATAGATAGATAGATATGAACAGACTGAGATAGATATAAACAGTTTGAGATAGATAACTAGATAGATATTAACAGACTTAGATAGATAAATAGATAGATGTAAACATGAAAATTGATAGATAGATAGATAGATAGATAGATAGATAGATATGAACAGACTGAGATAGATATAAACAGTTTGAGATAGATAACTAGATAGATATTAACAGACTTAGATAGATAAATAGATAGATGTAAGCAAGAAAATTGATAGATAGATAGATAGATAGATATGAACAGACTGAGATAGATATAAACAGTTTGAGATAGATAACTAGATAGATATTAACAGACTTAGATAAATAGATAGATGTAAACATGAAAATTGATAGATAGATAGATAGATAGATAGATAGATATGAACAGACTGAGATAGATATAAACAGTTTGAGATAGATAACTAGATAGATATTAACAGACTTAGATAGATAAATAGATAGATGTAAACATGAAAATTGATAGATAGATAGATAGATAGATAGATAGATAGATATGAACAGACTGAGATAGATATAAACAGTTTGAGATAGATAACTAGATAGATATTAACAGACTTAGATAGATAAATAGATAGATGTAAACATGAAAATTGATAGATAGATAGATAGATAGATAGATAGATATGAACAGACTGAGATAGATATAAACAGTTTGAGATAGATAACTAGATAGATATTAACAGACTTAGATAGATAAATAGATAGATGTAAACATGAAAATTGATAGATAGATAGATAGATAGATAGATAGATAGATAGATAGATAGATAGATATGAACAGACTGAGATAGATATAAACAGTTTGAGATAGATAACTAGATAGATATTAACAGACTTAGATAGATAAATAGATAGATGTAAACATGAAAATTGATAGATAGATAGATAGATAGATAGATAGATAGATATGAACAGACTGAGATAGATATAAACAGTTTGAGATAGATAACTAGATAGATATTAACAAACTTAGATAGATAAATAGATAGATGTAAACATGAAAATTGATAGATAGATAGATAGATAGATAGATAGATAGATAGATAGATATGAACAGACTGAGATAGATATAAACAGTTTGAGATAGATAACTAGATAGATATTAACAGACTTAGATAGATAAATAGATAGATGTAAACATGAAAATTGATAGATAGATAGATAGATAGATAGATAGATAGATATGAACAGACTGAGATAGATATAAACAGTTTGAGATAGATAACTAGATAGATATTAACAGACTTAGATAGATAAATAGATAGATGTAAACATGAAAATTGATAGATAGATAGATAGATAGATAGATAGATGGATAGATAGATAGATATGAACAGACTGAGATAGATATAAACAGTTTGAGATAGATAACTAGATAGATATTAACAGACTTAGATAGATAAATAGATAGATGTAAACATGAAAATTGATAGATAGATAGATAGATAGATAGATAGATATGAACAGACTGAGATAGATATAAACAGTTTGAGATAGATAACTAGATAGATATTAACAGACTTAGATAGATAAATAGATAGATGTAAGCAAGAAAATTGATAGATAGATAGATATGAACAGACTGAGATAGATATAAACAGTTTGAGATAGATAACTAGATAGATATTAACAGACTTAGATAAATAGATAGATGTAAACATGAAAATTGATAGATAGATAGATAGATAGATAGATAGATAGATAGATAGATAGATATTACCTTTTGTTATATAATGATGCATTATGCATAAATCTTCTTTGATTTTAAGTTTAAATAAATTTCGATATGTGATATAATTGATTTTAATTTCAAAATCAAACCTTTGAAAAATATTTCTGAGAGAAATTTGGGGAGAGACTCCAAGGATAAATATTGAATTTGATTTAAATATCAATATCTAGTCATATCTATTTTCTTTTTTTTTATTTCTTTTTTATCAGGGATTGTACAACTAAAAATATCCCCGAGTACGGATGGGGGCAAATAAAGATCATCTTTTCGGGAAATAAGAAAAGGCTTATAATGGATTAACGACAAATTACCGGCTGGAAGGTACTTAAGTCGTTCCGGTAGACAAAGTTTTCAAGTAGGAAACACGTAAAAGCACTTAATCTATACAAAAACCCGGATATGAAACAAACTTTCTGGTTTAAAACTCTTACGTCATTTGCATATCATTCAATCGTGGACAGTTATAAGTAGTAGGGACATATAAGCTCTCTCTCTCTCTCTCTCTCTCTCTCTCTCTCTCTCTCTCTCACTCACGTTTGCACACAAAATCAAAATCGTGTGTGTGTAGGATGTATAAGAGTATACGAAATAAAAGAGATGACGAGACACAGCAAAAAGGCTATAAACAACTCGTTTCGCCGACGTCTGCTGGTGTCGGCATCTTTAGACCAGAATGAAAGATAAAACTGTGTATAGGGAAAATGCGTTGGCATTTCTTTGAGGATAAGTGAGGTAATGAATTAGATTATACAATCAGATCCGACAACAGAAAAAACGATATATATATATATATATATATATATATATATATATATATATATATATATATATATATATATATATATCTCCAGGTTAGATGAGAAATTCTATATTGGTAGTACTAAGAATTCTTTCAAGACTTGATGGTATCAATATACTTTGTCCTCCACCAATAGTACTTGTCGAAATAATTTATCACTTTCTAAATATTTTTATAGTTTAAAAGATGATAAGACTCCTGAAGTGAAATGGTAAATTTTAAAAACAGCAAGGACATGTTTGATATTTATCTGAAAAACTGGAAATTATCATATTTAATAAAAATTGCTATTAAACCAAAGGAATGAATTAACGGTAAACTGTTAACATAGTTTACCTTTACCTTACAATTTAGTTCAATTTTGGAATTTAGTTATCCTTTTTCTAATATTTCAGTTGTGCTGCGTTACAACATATATGGTTTATCTTTCTATTTCTAAAATTAATATGGATTAAATATAATTTTTGTATTAATCTCCTGGTGGTATTAGTAACATATTGTATGGATGTATCGGTATTTGGTTGGTATTTTTGACATTTTACGTCGATTGGTTATTGTTATTAACATCATATATGAAGAATCTTTATTCAACAGTCGCTTATTAATTTACCAAATAATTCTATACGTTTCAATTATTTATTGGTTTCTTAAAGAAGCTAATTATTTATCAACTATAAATTAAATTTATGTAGGAAATTCACAAAGCATATAACTTGTTTAGCATTTTGTTAAATTACCTCTCCAGTCCATTTTTATTTCTTAGGAAATGGCATTGTCTAGCTTGTATAAATTATGTATGCATTAACATCTTCGTCGGCTTATATCTGTGTTGCCGTTAGTTGCCAATCAACGGGTCATGCCCCATTTATAAAAAATATTTTTTGTAATTTTTGTGTCGGCTTACCTCCTCCTAATTTTCGAAACCGCTACTAGGCGGTATTGGTGGCAGGATCTTTCCGAAGTAAAGATACTCGGCGATATTTTTTTCTCGCCCTCTTTTTTAAAGTTTTTCCGCTTACACGTCAACATGTAAGTCTCGCGGAAGAACGCGTTAACTTTTGGAAAACGCATGAACAATGCACACACGCACACGGTACGTACATACCTTTCACCTATTTTTTTTCTCGGATTTTCTCTGACACCAAATTACACATACGCAAACAATTTACTAGCTTAAATGTGTTCTTCATTCATGTTCATTCTTCAATAACATGCAACAATATTCTTTTGTTTATGTAACACTTTATTATCATTTATTTGTACATATATATTGGTCCTTGTTGTTCCTTTACATTTTTTACGTGGACTCATATTCCGAGTCTGCCATGTTGGTTTTGGGCATTTTAGGAGACACTTGTGTTTATCTCTCAACGCGTACACCGGTCCGAAACGCTTACTTCTTCGCTTAAATTTAAATTTAACGTAGGGGAAATTTGATTGGTTGATCACAAACTTTATAACCCGCTTTTTTCCTAAAAAGAGGTTGTATTTTGCTTTTAAATCTAAATAAATCGTTCACACGTTAGTAACTTACAACCGCCGACTGAGATGCATTGATACGCATCGAAACACAACAGCAATTATGTAGCGATTTTGCCATGTTTTCGGTGTAATATATATATATATATATATATATATATATATATATATTAAAGACATTAGTTCCATTTCATCTTCAAGCAATTTTTTAATTATAAAATTAAATTAGAAGCTTTCAGCTTCTATTTTTGAAACATGGTTAGAACTGTGTAGCGAAAAACATATTTTAAATCAATTAAATTATAATATATATATATATATATATATATATATATAAAGTGAACATTGAAGTCAACATTCAGAGGCGACAAGCTGTTTCATGCTAGACGCAATCGTAATATCGTAAGTGTTGGGTTTTTTCTCGACTGATTATATATACGAGTCAGTGGTAGCCAGTTTACCCTGAAGATCCGTTTAGGTGAAACCTAGGCAGGTTTGCCTATCTCGTTAGGATTTATTATAATTTACTGTTCTACTTAGCTCTTCGTTTTCGTTGTCTTTATATTCGATTGGACTAAGGACTTAAGACACTTGATGATCTTTTTCGCCTTGTTCTGATGTTTTAGTTCATTCTTTTTTTTACTTCCAATTTTTTCCTCGGGTACCAATTTGCCTTCAGAAGTCCACATGTCAAAGTTATCAGAGGTTTTTAAAGCGAGTAATACTGTCATATATATATATATATATATATATATATATATATATATATATATATATACATTCACTCACACACACACTCCTGTTTATAAATAAATGTTTCAAAATAAAATCCTCACATTTACCTTGATAAAGTCCATCGGAGAACGAATATATATATATATATATATATATATATATATATATATATATGACTACTGTCACAGAATATAAATTCATGCTCTACATCTTGAGGCCGGGTGTGAGTTTGTGGCCGTGTATCCTCTCATGGCACTTAGCAGTTCTTACTTTTTTATTCTAATAATTCCAAATCTAAATAGAAATAAGAAAATTCCAAATCGGTAGTATTTTCACGTCAGTCGCATTTAAACTTGGTAAACGTTGATGCGCTGGTAGCGTAATTGTTATCGGCGCTGTAAATAAAATGCGAGGAACAAGTTCAAATACCAGTCTTCAAAAGATGAACTGAGGTCAAGGATTATAGCAGTATCCACCAGCGAAGAGGGTGTCTGCTGGAAGAACCTATATCTGACAACAGGACTTTGGACCCTGCCACAGAAGAAGGAGAACCCAGTCATGGCGGTCAGACAATTCCTGCGACCACATCAGCCCTTACATCTGGCCACCTAACTCCCCAGATTTCAAGCACCTTGATTATTACGTATGGGGCGTATTTGAACAAGAGACCAAAAAACTCCTTGGAACACCAAAGATGGACTGAAGGCAAGAATTATAGCAGCATCCACCAACTGAAACAAGAAGACCGTCCTGAAGAGCTCCAGGAGATTCCCAAGTCATCTGGATGCCATGATTTAAGCCAATGCGGATTTTATTAAATAATTTTACTTTTTAGTATTTCAAAATATTTTTGTGTAATTTTGGTAAATATATCTGTTAAAATGAGATGCCAGTGTTATTTTCGTTTTTGCGTAATTTTGACGACAATTTATCCATCGTACCCTGTAGATAGATAGATAGATAGATAGATAGATAGATAGATAGATAGATAGATAGATAGATAGATAGGAACAGGCTACGGTAGATAGACAAAGAGATAGACAGATATATAAAAAAGCAGGAATCCTTCTATTCTCTTCCTCCATATAGGTTAAATAGTAAGGTGTGCTGGTCTCTCTAATTTTGAGTACCAACCAGTCTAGGAGAAAAAACATCTATGAATAAAGGAATGATGGAAAATATAAAGGTAAACCAATCCACCATATTTTGAAAGAATTTTGGGTAATTCATAGATAAAAAAAATGAACCTGTTGACAAACATATCCGCTTGAGAGTATACTGCATTAAAAATAAAATTTAAAAAACAATAAAAATAAAAATAAAAATTCTTGTGGGGCTCTCCCCTCTTTACATAAGATGGACTCGTCCAAAGTATACTTATACTGACAGAGAGAATACCTGGTGTTGAGATACGTCGAGATACAGTCTCGACGTCTGTCGAACTCTCTGCTTTGTCAGAGAGGAACCCGGACGAAGCTTTTCCGAAGGGCCAGGTTTCGTCCGGGAAGGTAGACAGGACCATAACCCGTCTAGGCGGGTTCAAAGGGTATATTTTTGGCCGAGCCTACGAGCTCGGAGAAAACCACTTTAAACTCGGCCTTGTGCCACATATATTCCTCGTGGGTGGGATATTAAATACTGAGATACGTCGAGATACGTTGAGACAGGTTGAGAGATACAGAAACAGACACAGGGTGTTCTCAGAGAGTTATACAAGAGTCCACAGAGAGAGAGAGAGAGATGATTACGGCTTTACTTACAGAGACTTGTACATATACTTTCTACTAACCCGCATTCCTGGACTACTAATCTTCACTTCAAGTCTGTATTCTTACGTTTAATACACTTATTTTTCTATCTCAATTACTGGCGTTGTTTATTTATTTGTACAGGATTCCATTCTCGGAATCCACAACACCAATATTCATACAAGATGGCGGCTTCTCTTAACACTGGCTACTGATGATATCTCACCGCCATCAATCCCACGAATAGACTTCATATTTTTGGGTGTTTAGAATTAAAATATTTGTAGCAGATGCAGATTGATTTATTGTTTAGCACCATAAAAAATCAATCGCTGATTTATAGGATTTGTTAAAAAAAAAATAGAATATCATTATGAAAAAAAAACACACACACAATAAACTCTTACACATACGGACGCGTGCGCACTCACACACACACACACATACACACACACACACACACACATATAACTGCGTGTGTTTATGTCTGTCTATAATCTTTCTTTTTTCTTTTATTTCCAGATATGTTTATATGTGTGTTATTCCTAATAGTGTGTACGGTTTGTGAATAAGTACTTTTTTTGTTTACATATATATTTTTGAAGCATATATTTTTTATCTATCAATACATATTCATGTGTTTTGTATGAGTCATTGGGTGCATAAGAATTTATACATACATTTATTGTTCATCTCTTTATCATACGATAGATAGATAGATAGATAGATAGATATGAACAGGCTAAGATAGAGAGATAGATAGGTAGATATGAACAGGCTGAGATAGATAGATAGATAGATATGATCGTAATGAGATAGATACAGAGTGCGATGGATAAAATGTCGCCAACTATATTTTTAATTTCGCGCATGCGCGTTGTTTGTTTAGTTGGGAACCGAACCGTCTGTGAGTAAAAGAGTGCCATGACGCAATTCATTCCGCTAGAAGTTTGGAAACAGCATGCTGTACTGCTTGGCATTTGCGCCGGAAGCTCCAATACCACCGTTTTAGAGTGTTTGGGTGTCAATCTGAGGAGAGTGCAATGGATTTGGAATGAGATGGAAGGGAGTCTAATGGTGATTTCGAAGGTACGACAGCTCGGAAAACACATTCTGATCGTTAAGAAAAGAACTCCCGTATTTGTTGATCAGGGACTACATCAAGTCTCTTGATGAAGTAATGCTGCCTTGGCTGCTGGAAGATCTGACAACAGGATTCTGGACCATGCCACACAAGAAGAAGAACCCAGCCATTGCTGTCAGACAATTGCTTCGACCACAACATCCCTTACATCTGGTCACCTAACTCCCCAGATTGCAAAACCCCTTGATTATTATGTGTGGGGCGTATTTGAACGAAAGACCAGCAAAACTCCTTTAACACCAAAGATGAACTGAAGGCAAGAATTATGGCAGCATCTACCAACTTAAACAAGAAGAGCGCCCTGAAAAGTTGCAGGAGATTCCCAAGTTATCTGGATGCCATGATTGAAGCCAATGGCGATTATATTGAATAAATTTAATCTTTAGTATTTCAAGATATTTCCGTAATTTGGTAAATATATCAGTTAAAACGAGATGCCAGTGTTATTTTCAGTTTTGCGTAATTTAAACGACAATTTATCCATCGTGTCCTGTATATAGATAGATAGATAGATAGATAGATAGATAGATAGATATGAACAGGCTGGGATAGAGAGATAAACGACATTTTATCCATCGTACACTGTAGATAGATAGATAGATAGATAGATAGATAGATAGATAGATATGAACAGGCTCTGATAGATAGATAAACGACATTTTATCCATCGTACACTGTAGATAGATAGATAGATAGATAGATAGATATGAGCAGGCTCTGATAGATAGATAAACGACAATTCATCCATCGTACTAGATAGATAGATAGATAGATAGATAGATAGATAGATAGATAGATAGATAGATAGATATGAACAGGCTCTGATAGATAGATAAACGACAATTTATCCATCGTACACGATAGATAGATAGATAGATAGATAGATAGATAGATAGATAGATAGATAGATATGAACAGGCTAAGATAGAGAGATAGATAGATATGAACAAGCTATGATAGATAGATAAACGACAATTCATCCATCGTACTAGATAGATAGATAGATAGATAGATAGATAGATAGATAGATATGAACAGGCTCTGATAGATAGATAAACGACAATTTATCCATCGTACACGATAGATAGATAGATAGATATGAACAGGCTAAGATAGAGAGATAGATAGATAGATAGATAGATATGAACAGGCTAAGATAGATAGATAGATAGATAGATATATAGATAGATAGATAGGAACAGGCTGAGTTACATAGATAAACGACAATTCATCCATCGTACTCGATAGATAGATAGATAGATAGATAGATAGATAGATAGATAGATAGATAGATAGATAGATATGAACAGGCTCTGATAGATAGATAAACGACAATTTATCCATCGTACTCTGTAGATAGATAGATAGATAGATAGATAGATAGATAGATAGATATGAAACGGCTGAGAGAGACTCACACAGACACACGGGAAGAAAGAAAGAAAGAAAGAAAGAAAGAAAGAAAGAAAGAAAGAAAGAAAGGGGGAAAATTGATTCCATTATGAAAATACATGTGCTGAGATCGAAAGAAACCATTTTTTCTCTTATAAGCAAAGATTATGTCGCAACAATAAAAACTACTGATTAATATTTCTTCTAAATTCTCCCCGTTATCTGTCAAGCAAAAAAGAATAACCGAATAAATAAATAAACCGAATAATGGAATAACGGAATAAATAAATAAAAAAAAAAACAACGTAGAAAAATGTGAGATCTTATCGCTTCTAATATCGTCCCGACGTTAGCCCAAGTGGCATTGCAGATTGGCGGGAAGCCGCCATATTACTTTTGTCACGTCCGTATGTTTATTAGGTTTTACACAAAAGAAACATAAAGCAAATGACAAAAATACGTATTGATATGGGGTAATGGCCACAGGAAATTAAATTCTAAACCTCACACAAGACGGGTTAGCCGAGGAAGGAGACTGGTAACATTGGTTTACAGACATTGTAAATGCCCTGGCGAGCGAAGAAGGAGTTGGAATCTACAGATTTTTTTTCTTTATTAGCATTTGAAATTCAGCTTGAAATAACTTCAAGGAAATAGTCGGAGAGTGGATTCTGTTTAATGAAAGGTGGAGCTGTGTATATATATATATATATAAAATAATAATACTCGATGTCTGATTATTACACGCGCAAATGTATATGTGTACACATATTTATGCAATCATAAATACATACACACCCACACCTACACACATATATATATTTTCATATATATATATACACACACACATATATATTTATATACACACACACACAAAAAACATATATATATATATTTTCATATATATATATATATATATATATATATATATATATATATATATATATATTGATATGTATATTTTGATATTCATTTTTTGGAAGTGTTATCTGATGATCCAGCGTCCCTTAAAAGGGCTCTGGTGAAATAAATTATTATAATGGAACCTTAAAGTGGTCTGTTATTCTTTGATATATATATATATATATATATATATATATATATATATATACCGTTTGTATTTATTTGGCTTCGTCCATTTTAGCATAACAAATACCATGATTTGTTCAAGTTGCCGATGCTCAGCTTAAAGATTTGTTTAATCAGTAAGCTCTCTGGCAAGCGATCTTACGAACTAGCCGACGATTGTTCTCCTTCTATATGCCGTTTTCCTTCAGGACGTTGGCGATCATGGCTCTCCATAGTTTCCTATCCTTTGTAGCTTTTAATCATGTTTTGTCTTTTTCTCATCTCTTCTAAACCTTCCTCCACAATCTGTTTGTGCAGTTCTTCTTCTTCTTCTTCTTCTTCTTCTTCTTCTTCTTCTTCTTCTTCTTCTTCTTCTTCTTTCCCCTTCAAGACGTTGGCGATCATGGCTCTTCACAATTTCCTGACTTTCGTAGATCTTCATAAATGTTGACGTTTTATTATATCTCCTAAACCTTGTTCCTCCATCCATTTACACACACACCCATTCTTCTTTTTCTATGTGCCGTGTCCCTTCAGGCCGTTGGCGATCATGTCTCTCCATAATTCCCTGTCCTTTATAGCTCTTAATAAGTTTTGTCTTTTTATTAGCTTTCCCAAGAGTACCAGCACGTAAGTGAATGTAATGGATTCGACTGGAATTCGAACTCGGCTCTCCGATTCCTCACTCCGAGCCGCTATCCATTACCTCTCCGTGAATATTGTAGTTGTCAGAAAATCAAGAAATCGGAAGTGTAAAGTGCGGGAGAGTAAGCTATTAGTATAAGACTTCCGGCTACAAATACTAAATTCAAAATAATGAGACCTACTTGCTAATCAAGCATTGTCCTTAAATTCCTGAAGTCGAAATCTCATCAGAACAATGACTATGGAAATATTTATAGACAAGGCAATAGGAAGCTATGTTACGATGGTAGATAATTGACAGAAACAAAATGCCATATATATATATATATATATATATATATATATATATATATATATATATATATATATATATATTTGAATAAAAGACAGACCACGTTAAGATTCCATGTAATAAGCTATTTCACCATAACCTCTTTAACAGGGTTCTGGATCATCAGACTTTACTTCCAAAGTAAAGTCTGATAATCTAGAACCCTGAGAATAAAAAATAAAATTCATAATCTCAAAACTACATTCGAAACAAAATTCCGTCTTCAACTTTACCTATGAACTTGGCCACAATAAACTCCTACTCTTGGATGTCTTATAGCCATGTTGCTGAAGTCACAGCTACGCTGAGCAGGGTACGTCTCCAGAATGGAGGACCATCGCCTGACCAATATAGCCCTGTACGGGGTACTCTCCACTGGCCACCGTGACAGAGGGACACCAAAGAAGCGTTATAAGGACCCCCTCGAGAAGTTTCTTGGTACCTGCCACATTGAGCATCGCCAGTGGTCGACACTTGCTGCTGACCGTCAAGCCTGGCTCCGCACCGTCCACCAGGCCGTCTCCCCCTTTGAGGACTATCGCAGGGCCAACCTGAAGGCGAAACGCCGCGGGAGGAAAGACCGGGAAGCCTCAGTAGCTTTATAAAACCAGACCTTTAATTGTAGTCGCTGTGGTCGGACTTGCCTGTACCGCATCCGCCATCAGTGTGCCTGCAGTCAACGTGGACAGCCGACTTCGTAAATCTTCGTTTGCGGGGCCAAGTCAATAAGACTCTTGGATGTTCTTGTGGGGTCTAGTAATAATATATTCAATACTTCCTTATATAAAAAACCCATATGTTAAAATTCTTGCCATCTTAATTTTACGAGTCAATGTCCTCTCAGATATAAAATAGTTGTTATTAAAAATGTCCTTATGAGAGCGCAGGAGAATTCATCCTCTTGTCCACTTTAAAGAGATTAATAACATGAAACTAACGCTTGTTAATAACGGTTTTCCTAACTATCTTAGTTTTCTTTCTTTTTTGTACCTTTTCCCTTCAGGACGTAGACAGCCATGGCCTTCCACCTCTTCCTGTTCCTTGTAGCTTTTAATAAGTTTTGTCTTTTTGTTATCCGAAATGATGTTCTCCTCAAGCCCATTATGTATATCACGCGTCGTTTTCCCTTGTCTGATGAAAAGACACATCCTTGCATTAACCCCCGTTCTATTTTTGAATATCTGCTGACCTCATTTTCTATCCGTATGCAGGCCGTTTGCTGCAAGTATAGGTTCTGATATCTGATTATTCTGATATCTTTCCCGAATATCTCAAGGTTGCTGGGTAGATCTGTTGTAACCTAGAAAGTGTTACAGAATAAGGACAGCAGTTGGAAATTAAATGGTAATCTTTAAAACATCAACAAAATATAATACTCGCCAGCGGCGTGAAATAGGTAAACCACTGCTACTGGTGGACTACTAAGACACCATATTACCCCCACTTACAATAGTGTCCAATGTATTTATGAGGATTGGGACATACTCATTAGTGTTCATAGGTACGGTAACTACAAATTAGATAGATAGATAGATAGATAGATAGATAGATAGATAGATAGATAGATAGATAGATAGATAGATAGATATGCACAGACAAGAATACATACATACTGTTGTAACCTAGAAAGGGTTACTGAATGAGGAATAATCAAAACGGAGGTTGGAAATGAAATGGTAATCTTTATAACATCAACAAAATACAATACTCGCCAGCGACGTGAAGTAGGTAAACCACTGCTAGTGGTGGACTACATAGACACCATATTACCTCCACTTACAATAGTGTCTAACGTATTTATGAGGATTGGTACATGCCCATTGGTATTCATAGGTACGGTATATAACATTATCTATCTATCTATCTATCTATCTATCTATCTATGTCAGTCAGTATCTATCTATCTATCTGAATATCATCAACAAAATATAATACTCGCCAGCGGCGTGAAGTAGGTAGACAACTAGTGGTGCACTACTTAGACAGCCTTTTTCCATCCCTTACAATAAAGTCCAACGTATTTTTGAGGTTTTGGACACACCCATTAGTGTTCATAGGTACGGTATATAACAAGATCTAACAGAACTTTATGGCATACTTTGTCGAACGCCTTTGCGTAGTCTATAAAACACAGGTACGCGTTCTTCTGGATTTGTATTGCTCTTTTTGGTAACATTCTGAGCATAAATATTGCCTTCCTTGTTCCGGTATCTTTAACGAACGCATATTGTTCTTGTCCCATCTCTGGCCTGATTCTACTGTGCGTTCTATTCATTAGAATTAGAACGATGAGTTTTGTTATGTAACTCATTAGGCTCATTGTTCGGTGGGGTTCATATTCATTTGCGCCTGGTTTGAAAATAGAAATATGATCGATCTTCCGGTATATCACCATTGTTGTAGATTTAATTTATTATTTCTGTAATCTTGTCTATGCCGAAATCATCTGAGGCTGCCAGCATCTCTATTTCAATTTCTCCTGGCCCTGCCGCTTTGTTTCTGTTCAATTTGGCCAGTGCAGCTTCCGCTTCGGTTTATAGTGTTTCCGGTCCATCGGTATTTCTGTATATTGCCGTTTGTTTTCTTTCGTCCTGGAAGACTTCACCGCTATATTCGTACCAGCGCTGAAGAATTTTTTCTTTCTCGAATATGAGCGTTCCGTCCTTGTTAATGAGCAATGTCTTCTGTTCTGTTAGTTATCTTATTTTTTTATGCATATCTTCTTTATCTATGATACTCATTCTTTCTATATCTGTACATTATTCGTTGAGCCATTCTTCTTTAGCCTGCTTGCATTTGGTCCTGATTTTATTCTGTAGTCTTCTGTATTTTGTTCCATGTCTTGGCATTTTTTTTTTTTTTTTTTTTTTTTTTTTTTTTTGTCTCTTTTACCTCATCTCGAGAATCTTATCAGTGATCCATTCGTTTTTTTTTTCTTCTTCGTCCATTTTCTTTTGAAATGATGTCGTTTGCTGATGTCAATAAAACTTCCTTTAGTGTGTCCCATTTTGAGTTTCCATTTTGTCCATCGTATCTTCTATTCACACTGTCCAAATATTTTTCCTTCAGGTTCGGGTCGTTCAGGAGTCTTTTGTATTGCAATTTGGGTTCTGCCTTAGACTTCTTCAGTTTCCTTAGTTTAATTCTTAGTTTACATATCACAGGGAGGAGATCGCTTCCGCAGTTGGCACTTGGATAGGCTTTGCAGTGAACAACTGCATTCCTGAATCCTTTGGTGATAGTTATAGAGTCAATTTGGTTTTTCGTTTTTCCTCCCAGGTTTCTCCATGCCCATAATCCTCTTGGGTGTTCTTGGAACCAGGTGTTGGGTCTTACTTGGTCATTGTCCGTGCACCATACGACCCATTTTCCCCGCTTTCATAGCGGTTTCTTAGTCCGAATTTGCCAACTATCTCTTCTACCTTCTCCCTGTTTACTTTTGCATTCAGGTGTGACTTCATAATTATAACTTCTCGTGATTTGCACTGAGCTTTGTCGTTGTCTAGCATGGTAGAAAGATTCGATTTCTTCTTCCGTAATTTGTGCTGTCGGTGCATATACTATTATAATAATTATGTTGAAAGGCTTCCCTTCCAATTCAATTACAGTAAGTCTTTCAATAACTGACAGTATCTCAAGATGCATTTCTTGATGTCTTGATCTAGTATCAAGCCAACTACTTTTACGTTTTTTTCTCCACCTGCATATATAATGCCGTATAATCATATATAATCCTGTATAATTATCATATTAGACTTTTTCTTTCTAAGGTAACCAATAGTAACACCGAACACAGAAGAAAGATAACATTACCTTTTTCTACAAAACTCAAACGCATAGTAACTATAAGTAAGAAAAATCTTCACTTAGAAACATTGTAACGAAATACACAATTCCAGTCGACAAAAATAAAGAAAATTAAATTAATTATTTATTACAAAAAAAAGTAAACCTTAGCGTCGAAAATAATAATTCACCTGCAAGATCCAAATTACAAAGAACCAATACTCTTCCCTTAAGGAGCTGTGTTTCTGACCAATCGAAATTTGTAAATACTTATATTGGATATACTACAACATGCTTAAGACTCACGTTACATCTCTCTGACCATAGCTCAATTAGGTCTAATTTAAAACCTCATGGAGACCTACAAAACTCTATCTGTAATATACCCATTGATAATACAAATCTAAAAAAAATATTATACACATGAACAAAAAGCCTAAAAATAAAGCAAGAATTATTAATGAAAAAAAGAAAAAAATCACCACTAATGATAACAAGTATGAACACGGCCACAATTTCCTGGCTATGTTTGTAAAATAAAAAATCCTATAACTAGAGATATGTACATAAAAAAAAATCCATATCTTCAGCTAAAAAAAAAAATAACATTCACTCTTGATAATGGCTCAAAGTATAGCCAAAAACGCTTGGAAAACTTTTGGACAGTTTTTTATATATCTGATGAAGACATGACAAATTATATAAAAACTCAACGACTGTACCTTGTTAGTCTTTTTTAACGAAACCTGCATAAAAGAGTGATTGCTGCCTAAATACGCAATACATACAAACATACATGCAAAACATGGCAGCAATATTCGATGTACAGACTACTTTCATATCTCTCCTTAAAAGTTTTAAAATCTAATCCATTTAAACATTTCGCCTAAAATCACACTTATCCCCGATACATAAATATCGTTTTATTAATAAAGGTACTTCCAATAATTCGCTAAAAAAAGTATAGTATGATGATAAAAGGCTCCAAACTTAATAAAAACAAAGTGTTATCGTCAAAAGGTTCATGTTATTATTTAGAGAAAAGAAGAAAATATTTTAAAATTATTTTAAAGTTTTTTTCACCTTTCCAATAAGTTGCAAATTTGGATAAAAAATCAGGGTTATTTTTTTTTTTTTTTTGGCTACTGTGTAAGACTTGCGTTCATAGACATTTTCATGTAGCCGTTTCCGGTAAATGACATATTAATTTGGAAATTCTTGCAAAAATCAAATAATTCTCAGATTTTAATGAAACCTTCAGAACTTATTAAAAACTGAATGAATTTATTTTTGAAATTTTTTCTTTTAGGAAATCTTTGTAAAAAAATTTATTTTTACGTCTGTTACCCCCTCGTAACTTAATTTCCTGGGATCTTCTACAATTTCAAATCGTTTAAAAATTCTTTTATATTACTTATAAGCAGGATTCTTTGGAAAATGTAAATCATCATTTTTTCCCCAACTATCACCAACGTGTTAAAAATCTGCTCCACATCGTAAAATAAAAATTGCAATAAAAACTATCCAATTACCTAATTAAATAGGCTTTTATTTGCTTTTATAAATAATATATATTAAGGGAATTATTGTCTGAAGAAAAACATTTCGATGAATAAAGAATTTTTACTAAAATTGTTTGAATTTTTCTTGTTTGAATTTTTTAATTTAAGTTTCAAAAAACTTTTAACATTCTTCCAAACATCGTCTTAGTTTGCTTATTAAATTATTAATTGAAGTCTATATTTACTAAGCGAAAATTAAAAGCTTCATAATATTATTATACTTAAATTTTTACCATAATTAAAAATATTTTTTGTGCGTCTATATGTTTCTTTTAAGAATGTTTATCCTAAGTGATATTATGGTTAAAATGTCATGTGTTTCAAGGCTTGTCCTCCTCAGGGAAAACGTTTTCGGTTGTGGGAAATTCGTTCATTTCACTGCCGTTACTATTTTTCAACAGGCTTCTTTTTAAATCTTGAAGCGATAGATTTTTTTTTTCTAATTCACTAAATAATTTAATTTTGTTATTTTTTCCTCTTACTTTATATAGTGTGTATACTTTTCATAGTGTGTCATGCATCAAATATTTTTTTGTTTATTAGTTTTTATTTACGTATTTAAGAAAAATAATTTAATTTGTTTTTATTTTTAAGTTTCATTTTTTGTAAGCTAAATAAAATAACTTTATCAATTCATAACCATCAAAATATAGCAATTAATAATAAAGAATATAAATTAATACTAAATACCATAAAATTTCAAATTATAGAGTTTTCTATATCATTTTATTTTATATTATCTCAGTTAGTTAAAATTTAAAGATTGGGATAATAATTTAATTTTTAATTTAATAACTGAGATGATATAATTAAAATAATATATTATATCAGTTATCAATTTAAAAATTTAATAATTGAGAATGAGATAGTCATTAAAATATCAACTCACTCTCAGTTATTAAATTGATGAGATAATATAATTTATATTATTCCAGTAATTAAATTGAGATAATAAACCGAGTGAGATAATTTAATTATTAATATAATAATTAATAATTTTATTAATTATTATCTCAGTTATTATTATCGATGGAGACGTGAGAACAACACGAAACCGTGGTCAAGAAATGTTTGACTAGAAAATTTTATGCTATAAGTAATATTTGTTTCAGAACAGATTAATTTAGCTTATATCTGCTAATTTTACGAAAGTAAGGTTTCAGAAATGTGTATTTTATTTTTTCAGAAATTTTTGAAACCGAGAATTAATTTTTGTTCGCATTTCTCTAAAAAATTAAAAATAGACGTTTCGTTTAGTTTTTCGGAACAATCGAATAAAAAGATTAAACTTTCTATTAAAGAAAGAAATATTTCTATTTCTATTCTAGACCAAAATATTTTGTTTTCTGGAATTAGAAAATTTAATCCTTTAGCTTTCAATTGAAGATGGGAGAATGCTTCAAAAAGGATTTTTCATTTAGGAAAAATACATTTAAACCTTAGGTATGCCGAATGTTTGGAGGTACCTATATTAATATATCACCCAAACAAAAATATACCAGACATTATAATAAATAACTTAATAATATAAATCTTGATATTATACACACACACACACACACACACACACACACACACACATATATATATATATATATATATATATATATATATATATATATATTATTTCCTTTTTTTTTGAAACATGGGAATTCATGTGTAGCAATGAACCATATTTTTAAATGAGTTAATTAATAATATTTATGCTCTGTAAATTTACATTGAGCACTGTTTTGTATAAATAAAAATACCAATAAGAACACCGGATTATATATCTTACTGTTCTTTCTTTTTACTATATATATATATACAGATAGATAGATAGATAGATAGATAGATAGATAGATAGATATGAACAGACACAAAGAGATATATATCAATGTGCCCCTAAAACAGTGGCTATTGGCTCGGAAATTGGGATTGTGGTATCGAGTTCATATTCTAACCGACGCAGTTTCGTTTGCCTTCACACTAACACCATTCTCCTAGACTGAATAAAAAATGTTTGGGTGTGGGGGCGAGAAAATCCACCTCAGACTAAACAACGTCACTTACTGTGAGGTGCCTGTTCTCCTATACTCTACAGCATGTTTGTGTGTATGCGTGTTTGTGTGTATGCGTGTGCAAGTGTGTATCCTGATAGGCAAAAGAGTAATTAGTTACTCTTCACGCTTCTCTGACCAATGATAACGCGTTCAACGACAGACCAATTAAAAACGAATGGAAAATGTTTTTCGGGTTCCTTTTATAAACTTAATTTCCTGTTTTAAGAGATAGATTTGATAAATAACACTTTTTAATAACAGTCGATTAATAATGAAAGCATTCAGACGCTAGAAGCCTCGTATATACGCACTGAATCTGAATATATATATGGGGGATATGCAAATTGTCGCCATTTTACATTTTTTTAATCTCGCGCATGCGCGTTGTTTGTTTGGGGTTTTGTCGACTGCACACTATAATACGTTCAATTGGGCATCGTATGGGAGTAAAAAGAAGGATTCGGAAAGAGTTGGATGAATCTAATAATGATTACGAAGTTTTGGAAGCAAGGAAAACTCACTGTTCATTCTGATAAGAAAAGTACTCTCGAATTTTGTTAGTAATTTCAAAGCTATGATTGAAAACTATCCAACCAAGTCAGTCGGGTCCATGGCCAGGTAGGTAGTACTGCCCTGTGTCAATGTTCATCTAATACAAGGCCTAAGAGCCACTCAAGACAGGGTTACTGTGTGGTGTTGTATGAGTGCATGTTCATGGTTTTATGTAGGGAAGATGACGTTTAACCATAGACTTTTTTTAAAATTATTTCACCCTAAGCAAGGCAATAAAGTCTCTAAGATGCAGAGAGTTCTTGAATGTAAAATAATATAAGAAAAAGAAAAACGTTATTAAAGAGTGAGAAGAAGAAAAGCACAAGATGAAGACAGAAGATGACGATAGACATATATATATATATATATTTGAAGATCAAAGCTGACTGGGAAGCAAGAAGCCGGAAGCGAGTTCCACAAGCGAGAAGTGCGAGCGAAGAAACTGTTAGCATAGGACTTACGGTTATATCTGGCCATTTCAACTATAAAATGATGAGACCACACTGTCAGCTAGTACTGCGATTATCTGCACATAATCTACCATAGAGGAAAGTTCATCAAAACAATTACAATGAGCGAATTTATAGAAAAATGCACACTAAAGCGGCATGATGGCGATGGGAAAGTGACTGAAGCCGAGATGCCAGGTGAAGATTGTAAAGATTGGCGTAACAATCTCATCGGACAGTGTTCCACAAATCAGCAATTCTTGGAAGAATCTTTCCAAGTAGAACTTACACCTTATTAATAATATATATATATATATATATATATATATATATATATATATATATATATATATATATATGAAGCTTCAAGATCTTAAGACATCTAACGTAGACCTGTTTAACAGGTGTAATATTGGAGGAATCGAGACGTTTATCATACAGTCTCAGTTACGGAGGACTGGTCATGTCTTGATAATGTCTGATGACAGGATACCCAAGATCCTAATGTGCAGCCATTTATATCAGGGCTGCAGGAATGTAGGACGCCCATGGCTAAGATACAAAGACAAGCTGAAAAGCAACTTGTCAGCAGTCAATATACCACGTAACACCCTTTAGCGCTTATCTTTGGAGCGGGTAGAATGAAGATCAACGTGTTTTAGTGGACTCAGCAATGTTCAATCTGCATGTCTAAATCATCTTCAAGAAGCGAGAGCAAGATCCAAAAGGTCAGCCAATCTAACAGTGATCTCATCTCACAATCCTCACACTTTCTCCATATGTGGCCTCCTTTGTAAACCACTAGCGGGTCTTAAACGCCACTTAAGATTATCGCACAAACTTTCATAAGTGAATCAATAAGCTGTCAGATCCTCATACGTCGAAACCGACGGGAGAGTCATTATATATATATATATATATATATATATATATATATATATATATATATATATGTGTGTGTGTGTGTGTGTGTGTGTGTGTGTGTGTGTGTGTGTGTGTGTGTATGAGACACAGAGAGAAAGGAATAGACAGATAGATAGATAGATAGATATACAGGGTGAGATGTGTAAATTTTCATAATTTTACATTGTTTAATATTTTATTATTTAATATATTGCATTTTTTTAATTCGCGCATGCGCGTTGTTCGTTTTTTATTTTTATTTTGTCGACTGTACAGTATAGTACGTTCAATTGGGCACCGCCTGTGAGAAAAAGAACACCATGACACAATCCACTCCGCCATAAGTATTTAGAAAATGTTGGATGAATCTAATAGTGATTACTAAGATTTGGCAGCTCAGAAAACTCACTTGTTCTGAATTATAACGAATTGGTTGGTGAGATCCAGGCTATGACTGAAAACTATCTCTCCAAGTCAATCAGATCCATGACCAGAGATGAAGTACTACCTTCTGTCAAGAGAATGGCTGCTGGAAAACCTATATGTTTGGTAAAAGGACTCTGGAACATGCCACACAAGCAGAAAAACTCTGTTATGCCTGTCAGACAATTTCTGCGACCACATCTTCCCAAGAATCTGTCCAAGTGGCCAGATTCTTGGTAATCTTACTAATGGAATACAAAAGGAGAAGGAATGATTCACACTTGTGTACATGGCATTAGCATGTCCTAATTTTAAAGAGCAGGGCTGGTGGAACTACGGAAGGTAGCTCATCGTAAGGCATGCTAGTGAAATGGCGATAAACCAACGAGAGATTCTCGACGTTTCATCTGTGGGAAAATGGTAGAAGAGTGGAAAATAATCACCCACAAGGCCGTATAGACACCTTTTTAAGTATCTATCTATCTATCTATCTTCATCTATCAGTCTATCTCATCTATCTATCTATCTATCTATCTCAGTCTCTTCATCTATCTATCTATCTATCTATCCATCTATCTATCTATCTATCCCATCTCTTCATATCTATCTATCATCCATTCATCTATCTATCTATCTATCTATCTATCTATCCATCTATCTATCTCTTCAGCTATCCATCCATCCATCTATCTATCTATCTATCTATCTATCTCATTTTCATCATCCATCCATCTATCTATCCATCTATCTCAGTCTCTTCATCTATCTATCTATCTATCTCATTTTCTTCATCTATCTATCTATCTATCCATCTATCATTCATCCATCTATCTATCTATCTATCTATCTATCTATCTCAGTTTCTTCATCTATCCATCTATCTATCTATCTATCTATCTATCTCATTTTCTTCTATCTATCTATCTATCTATCTCATCAGTCTATTCATCCATCCATCTCATCTTCATCTATCTATCTATCTATCTATCTATCTATCCTATCTCTTCAGCCATCTATCCATCCATCCATCTATCTATCTATCTCATTTCTATTCATCCATCCATCATCTATCTATCTATCTATCTATCTATCCATCTAGTCTCATCCATCTATCTATCTATCTATCTATCTATCTCATTTTCTTCATCCATCTATCTATCTATCTATCTATCTATCTATCTATCTATCTATCTATCTCAGTCTCTTCAGCTATCTATCTATCTCATCACAGTCTGTTCAGATCAATCTATCTATCTCAGTCTGTTATCTATCTAATCTCAGTCTGTTCAGTCTCTTCATCTATCTATCTATCTATCTATCTATCTATCTATCTATCTATCTATCTCATTCTCTTCATCTATCTATCTATCTATCTATCTATCTCAGTTTCTTCATCTATCTATCTGTCTCTCTATCTATCACAGTCTGTTCAGATCAATCTAAATATCTCTCAGTCTGTTCAGATCTATCTAATCTCAGTCTGTTCAGATCTATCTATCTATCTATCTATCTATCTATCTATCTATCTCAGTTTCTTCATCTATCTATCTGTCTCTCTATCTATCTATCACAGTCTGTTCAGATCAATCTAAATATCTCTCAGTCTGTTCAGAACTATCTATCTATCTATCTATCTATCTATCTATCTATCTATCTATCGCAGTCTCTTCATCTATCTATCTATCTATCTATCTATCTATCTATCTATCTATCTATCTCAGTTTCTTCATCTATCTATCTATCTGTCACTCTATCAATCTATCTATCTATCACAGTCTGTTCTGATCAATCTAAATATTTCTCAGTCTGTTCAGGTCTATCTGTCTAATCTCAGTCTGTTCAGATCTATCTATCTATCTATCTATCTATCTATCTATCTATCTATCTATCTATCTATCTATCTATCTAAATGAACACGCGAATCAACATCCACTATATACTTACACATCGAAACTTGAGTATGTGGACATATTTTTCTGTCTGCATCTCTTTCGATCTGAATATGCGTAGAAGAACGTGTAAATTATCACACAAGCACCGACGCACATGTACAAACATGACACTTACAGGAATATATGCGCCGAGAACAGGCGATGTACCCTCTGTGCGACGAAGCTCCAAATTCTATTAAACAAGGTATACAAAATGGCAGCCAGTATTACGCTGTTGCAACAAAAAGAGCGGGAAATAGAATGACAAAACGCCGTAATTAGACATTATTGTCAGAGATCCCAATGATGTCAATCCGTGCATAAAAGAGAGAGAAGGGGGGTGAAGAGAGAGAGAGAGAAAGAGGGAGGGAGAAGAGGTGTTTTGAAAGAAAAAAAAAATAATCGACGTAGTCGTTAATGATTGCTATCAACGTACAGTAAGTTACTTAGGGATACGAAAGCGGACAATACTGTTGGTAACGAGGTGCGAGGTTTAGAAAAATAAATAGGTTTTTATTTGATGATGGTTTGGTGGGTGATAGGTGTGAAAACGTCTGTCCGTACATGGGTACGTAGGTGTGTACGTACCTACATCTATATAGGGGTAGAGTTCCATGAAAATGTGCGATTGGGTGCGTAGAAAAGAATGTTCTATACCTCTTATACTTGTGCTGTGTCCCTTCAGGACTTAGGAAATCATGGTCCTCCACGTCTTCATGTCCCTTGTAGTTCTTTTTGTTATTTCTCCTGAACCCATCTATTTGGGCAAGTTCATCAAGTACGTTGCACGCTGGTTTCATCTATCCCTCTATCTGTCCTGTGAGTATCAGATTTTCTAAGCCGTCCTTCCTCATTGCATGCACCAGAAATACCTCTTCCTGATCTTAAGTATGAATTTCCTTTTTGTTTCCATTTTTTTTCTCCAAAAATCCGTTCTTACTCACGTGATCGGTCAATGGTATCCTCAGCATGTTTCTGTAGAACCACATTTCTGTTGCTTTAAGTCTTTTCTTCACCTTTGACAAGATTCTCCATCACTCGCTGTAAATACAGGAGGATAGCTATCACGTAACAATCTATTACTCTTTGTTTCTGTCTCTTAATAATCTGCTTAGCTTTTGGAAGGCATCTTCCTTGCTTATCCCAAAGTATTTTCGGAGATCAGTCGCACTTTCCGTCCTCTGTTAAAACACTTCCCAGATATTTAACTGACTGTACTTGCTTGATCCATCCTGATATGACGATAAACTACATCCGCGTCCTGGGTAAGACGATAAACTACATCCACGTCCTGGGTATGACGATAAACTACTTCCACAACAAGGCCTCTGATCAGGAGGTTATGAAAAGCGTGGAACCACCTCTTAATTACTAGTGTTCCCAGGTTCACCATGACCCGGAGTGGTAGCACCTGTTAGGGCCCCAGCTATGGGCAAATAGTTAACACCCAAACTGGGATAAAAACACTATGAAAGTTTAGAAATAGGTTTTAATACCAGAAATACTGTGTCAAAAATTATTATCAGCAATAAGTTTTTGAAGAAAAAAATATATATTACCAACAATACGTTTTTGAAAAAAAATATTACCAGCTATACATTTTTGAAGGAAAAAATTATTACCAGAAATAGATTTTTGACAAAACAAATTATTGCCTTGGATTGTATTCAAAAATATTAGTAATTGAAAAATGGTTCAAATATATATGTATACATACAAAGCTTTTTTTTTTACCAAACTATCGCTATGGATCTATTTCAAAATTTTGTTGGCATTAAATGACCCACTGAGGTTGATATGCCATAAAACAAAACAATCAACGAAACAACTTGTTTGATTTTAGCATCCGCGATTTCAAATTTGCATTTTGGGCTCATCCTTTTGTTGATAGGCATGTATGTATTTGTCTATATTTCTGAGATGAGGTATTATGTACATTATTTACATTATTCGGAGTATTGTCCTCATCTTTGTCGCCATATTTATCACACCGTTTCGGCCGTTTTACGCTCCGGCCTTCTTCAGGTGGTTGGAATGTCGAACTGAAACCTTTATTTTGCTCACTGGGGTAGACTGTTGTAGTTTCACGTGCCATGTTTGATGGATGTCAGTTATCAGTTATCTCCTTCTAATTTCCCTCTGATAATTCTCCACTATCCACTCTTCACTGCCTTAACCAGGTATTAACGGTGGAGAACTTGGAGGGGGAATTACCAGGAGATAACTGATAACTGACACCCATTAGACATGGCTTCGAGGAACTAGAACAGTCTACCCCAGCGAGCGAAATAAAGGGTTCAGTTCGACATTCCAACCACTTGAAGAAGGCCGAAGCGTACAACGGCCGAAACGTTGTCATAAATATAGCAACAAAGATGAGGATGATAGTCTGAACAATGTAAGTAGTGTACATAATACCTCATCTCAGAAATATAGACATATACTAAATCATTATTATCTAAAAAAAAAAAACGTCTAAAAATATTTTCTGGCTTCAAATAACCTACAGAGGGTTGATAAACTTTAGTAAACGAATCAATCAAACTTTCTCATTTTAAGTGTAAATGTCCTTTTTGTTTTCATTTCCTTTAAAATCTCTTCTTAACTGGACTATTCCGTCCATGTTATTCTCATCATCCTTCTGTAGAAACACATCTCTGCAGCTTCAGTTTCCTTCATCTGTGAAGATTGTTTTGTTTTACGGCATATCAACCACAATGGGTTACTTAAAGCCGACAAAATTTCCGTTTTTTTACAAAAATGTAATGCTGGTAATTTTTTCAGAAATGTATAGCTGGTAATATTTTTTTTTAAAAATGTATAGTTTGGTTTGTTTTGTTTTGTGGCATATTAACCTCAATGGGTTATTTAATGCTGACAAGATTTTTATTTCTGGTAATATTTTCTTTTTTCAAATATTCATTGCTGATACTAATTTTTAAAAAATAGTATTTCTGATATTAAAATCTATTTTTACACTTTTATAGAGTTTTGAGTTAGGGTGTGGGGGTCAACCATTTGCCCATAGCTGGGACCCTAACAGGTACTACCACCCCGGGTCAGGGTGGACCTAGGAACAACAGCAATTAAGAGGTGGTGTCACGTTCTCAAAACCTCCTGATCAGAGGCCTATTGAACGTAGTTTATCGTCTTACCCAGGACGCGGATGCAGTTTATCGTCATACCCAGGACGCGCCATATAAGAGAATTAATATATATATATACAGCAGTTCAGCACTACTTTCCTTGTTTCTAATAAAATCTTCTTTAATTTCAATAATTTTGAAACTATTTATCTTCAGACTACTGTAATCGTCTTTGTTGACTTAATCGACCGTTTTACCTTCCGGCCTTCCTCAGGTGTATATCGATCTGGGTAATTATGAACTGAACCTTTATTTAATCTACGTGGGCGGGCTATAATTTTATTCTAATTAATGCAGTATAGATAGCGAAATTCTGAAATTTTACGGGTTAAAAATTTAAGTTTCTCGTCTTATTCTGTCGGGCCACATCTCACTTAGCTTAAGTCTCGTAAAATTAAGTCTGGCACAAGCTTTGGCTTAAAGATCGGCCATTAAAATATATTTCCAAATGAATTACAAGACTACAATCACGGCATGACATTAATAACCTTGTATTTTGATTTTTTTTTTCACTGGGAAGGACGGTGGAGTAATGGATAGCGCTTCGGATTGAGAAATCGGAGAGACGAGTTCGAATTCCAGTCGGATACATTGCATTCGCTTACTTGTTTAATTCCACTGAATTATCAGTCCTCTCTTCGCCGCCAACTATGAGCAAGTAGTTATTCTGTAGCCTTGGGTGGCAACCGGTCTAGGAGAAGGAAAACTCTGAATTCCAAAATGTATGTAGCCCTGGCGAAGCACATACTATCCAGCTCAGGAAAGAATCGTTCACATTGTTTCGATGACTGAGGTCGATTCATTTTGATTTTTTTTAAACCTTTATCCTCATCTTAGGTTGTCAGAGAAACGACGTTTCACACGCAAGCGTGTAACCCTGAAGATTACCAGAGGTTATTTTGCCGTCTTTTGATGTTCACTTCTCGGTTCAACCCTCTTTCTACTTAACATAAATGATCTGCGTAAGAGGGAACATCTATGCCGATCATACAACGAAGGATGCAAGTCCAAAAACCTAGATGACCAAAGATTGGCAAATGATCTCTCCTCTGACCTAACTCTAACTGCTTAGTGGGTGGAAAAACAGGCTGGTTACATTCAATGCCTCGAAACCCAACTAGATACACACCAGCATAGCCATTCGGACCAAGAACTTCACCATTTGAGATGAAAGAATGCTCTTGAGGGAAGACCCTTGCCTTGGATGCCTATTGGAACAAACTCAATTCAGACCTGAAGTTGAACTCGTGCATACGATGGATCGGTAAAGAAGCTGGGGGTAATAGTCGGTTCTCTGTACGGCTCCAGCAAGCACCTGACTCCTCGGCTATCCTCTACCTTTACAAGAACCAGAGCAGGCCCTAACCTGCTGCTATATATAGGCAGGAGATACACTGTCTTCACTTTCCTCTTTCGATAGAGTCCAAAAGAATCTCGGCGTCCTTGCGAGTGACGAATTAATTCCCAATCTACATCCCCTTTCTCACAGACGAGACATCGCAAGCGTTTCGCTTCTATATCGCTATTTCCATAGCAAGTGTTCAGGTGAACTATTCTCCACCAGTCCTAACCCTCCACAGCTAAGACCCGCCATCCAAGGCACATTGGAGCGAATCACCCTCATTTCGTTCGTATTTAGGTACCTCGGCGTTGTGTAATGATTAGCAGGCTTGTCTCACTAGATCAGTTACGACTGAAGAGTGAGTTCGAGCCCCACTCAGTCCCCCTTACTTTCGGCCTTGTGCCACATCTAAACTACGCTTAGAAAATAAGCATTCTCTTCGTATTCTTTTCATGAGATGTAAGTGCCATTCGAGAAACTTCTTCACACGAACCACTGCCTTGTGGGACTGATTCCAAGTGGCTGCTTCCCTGGTTACTATAATATATAACGTGTTCATTTCTACGGTTAACCGTTATCATCCACACATAT